TTGGGTCCAATTACACACGAAACACTGTATTACTCCATATAAGGCCTGACCAAGTAACTTGAGCTTTGGTGACGTCACAAAATATCCTAGTCGGCATACGACACGTTACGAATGTCATCACGTGCTCGAGGATTAACGAATCATGGTCACGTGATAGGACTGACTGTCACGTGACCTCAGTTATCCCTTATATGGCACAAGGAGCTGCGATTGATCAGCTCTTAATTGGGCTGCAATCATTGACAGGCCTATATTTACCCAATTTTAAATAAACGATATCTCATTCTACAGAATGATGACAGCGTAAACAGAATGCTTCCCGGAATTAGCACAATGAAGGGAACAAGATGCTGTTGGAATTTCAATTATTCATCTTCCACCCGTAGGCCGTAGTCCCTAACTGCGTGACGCGCTTGTTTCGCGCGCTACTGCAAGCGAGAGGGCTCTGGTTAGAGCAAGTTGGCAGTTGACAATGACGACTCCTAGTCTAACTCGGCGCGCGTCTTGTGTCTTGGCAAGTTTGACATTTGAGGGGCTAATATTAAATAGTATTAGTGGATGTTATTATTTATATATTTATATGCAGCTCTTCCAGCGTTTTTAATTTTACTGTCGATCTGGAGGTCCCATTTTATTGAGCCAGTACCGGCTAATAATATATAATAGCGCTACTTCCAACTCTATACCAATTAATAGTAGGCAGTGCGCCATCGACAATAAGACGCGCGCGCTGACCATTGAATGGTTTTTTAGCTCTTATTTCGGCCAGCACATTATTTTGGAAACAATCGAAAAGTTATAATACTTCCCATATAACAATTTTGTTGAAATTTGGTCAGCGTACGTAAACACTTATATTCTACTGAACCTAATTTAGTTTGAGCAATTTCAATGGTCAGAATTTGAGTTATCAACGAATTTATACCTATTTTGTCATTTTTAGACCTCTTAATCAAGGCCAATCTCTCCCAACTAAATTAGGTTCGGTAGTTAAGTATGATTGGAAGGTTCTGACAAATTTTCAGCATGATTCATGTTCAGGAACCGAAGATATGACAGAATAATACGACAAAAATCAACGAATTTCGTCAAATTACGCGACTTTTACACCTAATTTTGCTCCAAAAGCCGCGCACCATCAAATATGGCACCTAGGCGAAACTCACTGATCATTCCAAAAAGGTATAATAAATTTGGTACTGTGAAAATTCTCACAGTCTCTAGAAAACGATGGTACAAAAATTTTGAAAATCCGAGCAAGTTTATTTTTATCGTGCACCGCCTATTAATAGAAAAAGGCCACTATTTTTAAAATTTGAAGCTGTATATCCAATATATCATGTATGACCCGTCAAACAAATTGAAAAGTATTCTTTCACGTCGTGATCCTCATTTTTGATTTCGAAATGGCTGCGCACTTGTGCGCGGCAAGCACTTGTGTGTTGTGCATGATTTGGAGCATGAAGGATGTCAACGCTTAATTCGATGTTCGACGCGCCGCGCGAAATTTCGGTTGATGATTATCTACTTTATACTCGACTGTCACATGACGTTTTAAAAACGTTCTTTAGCTGGCCGTGAATGGCTATTCAAAAGCTTAGCCCTCTAATCTGATCCGAATCTTAACCCAATCTTTAACAAAACCATATGCTGAAACCCTAACCCTGAACCCTAAAGAGAAATTAGACAATTTTTTTATACATTATACGGTCATATCAAGTGATCGAAGCAGTTTTTCGCCAATATCTCGCAAGGGGAGCATTTTAACCCTATGTCATGCTTGTCATACGTTGTATGACCCGCCGCGCACGAGTGCGCGGCTCCCCCTGTATCGTGGGTGTCACAACGTGGTACAAATGTCATGCACAGCCTCCAAAAATACATCGATTCAAGTTGGTCTGATCTCAACAGTGATTAAGCACGCCCAGAAAACTTTAACATTTAATACTGGCTGGCGGGCTCGCTAGAGGTGGTTTAATTTAAACAAATGGCTTAAGCTGGCGCACGACATTAAGTGATTTGCACACGTGGCACATTCCAATTTTCAAGCAGCCAGCACGTGACACAATTCAGCCAATCAGACGACAAGAATCCGCGAAGTTAAAGTGGCAAACTTTTGTTTGGCCCAGAATGAGACTTTTCTGAAAATTTTGAGATAACGCTCAAAATCTACGTTGTTTCAAATTTCCCCTGAGGGGGAAACGTTATTTTTACATAGCGACCATTTTGCAAAAAACCGGAAGTCTCTAGCTCTTTTATTTTTGAAGTTGGGCCCTCACCAATAAGGTTTTCTGGGCGCTTGCAAAATTTCATTCTTGTTTCCAGTTTCGCGGATCGCAGGCATGCACCACAGCATGGAGTAAGCTAATATAATATATATAATAAGAAGAGTATGCTTTTTCAAAAAACATATGAATCGCGCTTAATTCTTAATTGTTGTTAAACATAAAAATGTTAATGTTAAATGTGTTTAAATTGAATTGTATGCTTTTTATTTTGCCTAATACACGAAAAATAAAAGCATGGCATGAAATTTAATTTTTAAAACTTTTTTAATTTTTGAAATCTTTTGCATTGTATTTTTATTTGGAATAATTGTAAGCAATTATTCATTTAAAGCCCTTTTATTTACTTTTAAAAGTGGATAAAACTAAAAATGTTAACGACTTATTTTCCTGTCATAAGCATAATTGATAAACAATATATAAATAATGATAGCGTAAATATAAAATTGCTTTCATTGATGATAATTGAGGTGCCTCAAAATGATATTAACAATTATAAACTATTCTGTTTTCAATTTTGGTTGTAGGTTTGGATGATGATTAATCACTCTACACTCGACTGTCACGTGACTTTTTCAACTCGTCCTCTAGCTGGTTCTGAACGACTTTTCGAAACCCTAACCCTCTAATCTGATCCCAACCCTATACTAACCCTAACCCAATCCTTAACAAAAACATATACTGAAACCCTAACCCTAACGAGAAATTAGACTAACTTCCTTATACAGTCATATCACGTGATTGAGACAGTTTTTCGCCAATATCTCGTCAGGGAAGCATTTTAACCCTTGTATCACGTTGCGACCCCCACGGTCGGTTCACTCACCCCTTTATCGTCCTGACGATACAGGGGGAGCCGCGCACTTCGTGCGCGGCGGGTCATACAACGTATGACAATTTAACCCTATGTCATGGGTGATTCGGAATCAGCGTCCGAATATACATTGATTGAAGTTGGTTACAACCGTCGGGGGCCCTTTTAGAACAATCTCGAAGATCAACTGTAGAGTGATTTAGCACGCTCGTGTAGGTTTATAACCTACCAGGACGCGCGCCGAGTTGGACTCGTTGGAAACAAATATTTTACGCTACGAGTATCACCCGTTAAAATTTTGGTCGTTATACGTCTATTAGTATTTAAGTTTAACATTAATTCACGTTGTAGTTGTACTGCGCGAGGCGCGCGGCCGCCGAAGGCCGATCAAATCCTTTTTTGTAAAAAAATTGTATACAACAGATGTCAAACTTCGGCGTACATTTCTTATATTAATCCGATCATACAATATACATCATAACCGGGGGTTGGATTTTCCAATATTGAGTATGAAATATCAGACTTGTTGCTTGATTGACGATGTTGGATGTCAATCCTTCGCAGCTCGGTGTGGCTTACTGGGCCGCGCTCAGCCTGCCATTCCGCCGAATCTCTATGTTTATGAACATAATAGCCTGGGGTCCCCAGGTAAGGTGTGGCCCATGCAGTAGTGCATCGCGTTATAAACTTGTTGCCGGCCCGATGCATTACTGGGCATTGCTTTCTGCAGTGATTGGGGTAACGTTTCAATGTTCAAATATATTTTATTTTGACGATGTCAACCCTTCCAGATCGTTGCTCTGCGAATTAACAAAGCAACGATCTCTCGATGCGAAGTAACAATGATAGTTTTTGCGGCGCGTCGATGCAGCGAAGTCCTCCGGTATTCTATTGTGATAATCGTCATTTGGACAAGGGGCCATCCACTTTGGACGTTGACATATGTTACTCGTCTAAATTTCTTCGAAGTAGCGCGTGCCGGGCTAGTCCATTAACAATGGTCAACTTAGGACATCCGGCAAATAAAGAGGAAGGGGTGGGGTGGTTTTGGAATTTCAGACAAATCCGGACAGGGGAGGGGGGGGGAGGGGGGGGGGGGGGGGGGCAGCACAATTGTAACTGTAGTTTTTACAGAACTCTAAATGCTTAATGAACACACTTGCAGGTACCACCCGGCCGTATTCACACTTACTCTCAGACCTGAGTTTAGTCATTTTCCGATACGAGATTGAGGACGGGTTCTATAGACAAACAAACAACAACAAACAAAAGTAGCTGGAAATCCGGACGTCCGGAGGAGGAAGTGGGAAGGTGGTTTTGAAAATTCGGACATACCCGGACAGGGGGAGGGGGATGGTCTGAAAATCTGCGATTTTGGCGGACATCCTAAGTAGATGGCCCCCAAAGTTAATTGACGATGTCAATTCATAGCAGCTCGGCGCGGCACAGTAGCGCATCTCGCCGATCTAGCCAGGTCGCTGTGAGAAGCCTTATTAAGTGCGCGGCAGTAACGCATCGCGCTACAACCCCCAAAGCAGCACGTCCGTGCCTCGTTGTGCTGTCTGATTTTAGCACATGTTGCTAATTATTGGCAGGTTGACATCACAGACGCGACAAAGTGAAGTCACGCCAGCTTATTGTCAGTAACTAAAGGACTAATTATGAAACCATTTAACGGATGGTACGGTCTAAATTTCTTCAGAATGACCCAAGGCAAAGTGCCGTGACCCAAGGCAAAGTGCCGTGAAAAGCAACGTGTGTCAAGGTTATTGTTAAGTATGAGTTAGAAAACGTCATCGGACGTGATAACAGATAAGCAATAAGGCATTGTGTCGAGATATATTAATTATTGAAAATTTAATTTGATGCAATTTCATTATGCAAATAAAAGCCGTTAATTGCAATAAAAATAAGTTATAATTATTGTAAGAGTAACAAATTATTTCCAATACATTGAAATTTTTATACTTGCTACTTTAATATCACAAACAAAACTTTATCATCAAAACACCAATATTGAATAACTTTATCCAAACAAAACTATCTTTATCAATAGAACTAAAAAGTATGCCCGTGGTTCAAAGCAATAGAAAGTGCTCCAACGAAATAATTAATCTTAATGGTCGAGTCTGCAGGTGTGGGTGTACAAAATCATGGGGGATTGTCAGTAAAAAATTTCTGGGAGTTAAAATCTGATGTCACAGTTGTCCTGATTTATACCATTGAAATAGATAAAAATAATTGAATAACAAGATAAATAGAAGTAGTTGAAGATTAAAACATCGATAGAAATAACCTCAATCACCGTATCCACTAAAAACCCATACGTAGTAATATTCAAATAATACGTATTAAAATACTTTACAAGAAAGTATGTAGTCTGTTTTCAAGAAAAATTTAAAAAATATATAAATATAAGAAAAATTAAGAAAATATAAAATAGATAAATAAAAGAAATTGTGTATCTAGTAGATATCTACTCCCATATGACATTCAATGTCCCTCATCGAATTCGAAAAAAGTAACAACTTCCATTCAAATATACCAAAAAGCGTCCTGCACTTTTTAAATCAAACATTACATCATAAACAGTAACACAAACAGCAATGGTCTATTGAAAAAACCAATATAGTTTACACCGGCATAAAAGCAGAGTTTCGGGGACTAGAGTTCGAAACTTGAGGAACGAGTGGGGAACTTGAATTCCGGGTTGGTGCTGATAAGACGGTGCGTGAATATGGATGAGGGTAGAAAGCTCGAGGTCGAGTAGGGGTTGGCCTGGCAAGAGTAGGGGCCATGCTGTAGGGAAGGAGCCTGTGGTAGGATGGGTAGGAGAGAGATGGAGGTAGAGCGGGTGAGTAGAAGGGGTTAGGGAGAGTCACTGTGGGAACTCCTCTGAAAGATGGCTCTTGTTTCTTCTGAACCACTGGTTTCTTGGTGCATTGTTTGGGAGCGGAATGACTCTGTAGGTGGATCTTCAGTTTGCTACTCTCTGTGTACGTCTTGTCTGAGGAGGTAAGTTGGTAAGTTTAGGAGGTAAGTTTAGGAGGTAAGTTTAGGAGGTAGGTTGGTAAGTTTAGTTTATTCATTTTAGGATTCGTTTTAGTTAAAACATGATAAAAAACTGGCTCCGAATTACATGTTAAAGGTCTGAAATCATGTCATAAAATTATATCTACAGAACAGAGAGAACTGAAGAGGAACTTACAGCAGATATGACAAGCGAAAGGTCTATCTCCGGTGTGAGTTCGCTCGTGTTTCTTCAATGAGCTGGAGTCCAAGAAACGTTTGCTGCATCCTGCTACCGAACAGGCATACGGTTTTTCTCCTGAGAAGAACATAGTGTAAACATAACTGGAAGAATCAAGAATCGAAAATAAATTATGCTAATGAATATATGCATAATCAAGGAAAGAGTCCAAAAATAGCAAAAGAACACGAAATTACACGGCACAATGTATAATTACCTGTGTGAGTACGTTCGTGCACTTTGAGGTAGTCACTGCGACTAAAACACTTGGAGCAGTGCGGACACTTGTTATTCCTCTGCCCGGTGTGAACCAACTGGTGACGTTGCAGGTTGCTGGTGTGCGCGAACATCAGGTCACACTTGTCACACTTGTAGGGCTTCTCTTTGGTGTGGGTCCGCGCGTGCGTGGCTAGGTTACCAATGTTCGTGAACTGTTTACCTGAGGGTACAATGTCGGTTAGAGGGGCGAGTATGGACTGGGTGAGTCGTTGTCCGGGAATATGCTTGGCATTATTCCAAGAGAGCGCGGTTCAGGTTCTATTGTCAAGAAGGAGCAGCATGCATTGTCAACTCGAATAATCATTGAACGGTGGGAGGGTTAATTGGGGTTCCTTCCTACCACTGCAAGGATCATTGGGAACAATCGCCCTGGAATTAGTCCGATATATTCAGACAAAGAGAAGAGAGGGTGGTGTGAGTTTAGTTCAGATCCTAAAAAGATGTCGATTAACGTGACGTGTGGTACTGCTCATTGTATCCGCATCTCTCCCCTCTGGACTCTGGACAGTGCGATATTTTGCACGTGTTGAGCAAGCCCTGCCTCCTAATTCGTCCCCGGTAACTGGAACTCGGCCAATAACCGCAATCTTTGTCCTCTATGAGGCACGTGACCGCGTTTTACAGACCACGTGACAATGTCACGTGAGTGAGCGCGCTGAGGGCAACAAAGCAGAGATTTTGGAGACCTTATTAGCTTTCAATTAGAGAGTTGGAGAGTGTACTATACTCCCCCCGTATAATGCATCAATTATCCCTTATTCTGCCGAGACATGATATTCAATTGTCACATGTCAGGTGTCAAGGACTCTCATTGGTCCGGAGAGCTCCCTGAGGGGAGAGATTGGCCACACACTAGCAAAACGATACAAGGTTAATTATTCTGTTTTGATCCCAATTTTGTATAACGTGAGACTCAGGGGATGGAGGGTTGGGATCTTGTTAACAAGGTCAGGCACATTGTTTAAGGAACATGGCACACTTGGTTCATCTCTAATAATGCATTATAACCACCCGAGCGTCTCTTTAGGTGACCCAGCCTAACTATTTGTGGTCTAATTTAAGGGCTGATGATCTACAACCTCACCCTCTACAACCTCACCCGATCAGACCCTCTCTGATATCAGGCCAACTTAAAATACCCCTTAAAATGTTCCATCAAAGTTATCGGGATGGGCAGAAGACTGCAGTACTTAGGACTTTAGGAGGTAGCTAGACCTTCTGTAAAACATAATTTGGCTGAACCATTTTGGCCGTGTTGTATTGGTACAATGTAAAGTGATACCGTCAATTGAATGTGTCCATTTATGAGGGAGCCGTAAATTATGGGTATAATATGCACATAAAACCAGCCTAAGAACGTGCGACAGAGCATAAATGTAACATGTCAGGGAAATGGTTGTGGTCAACGGTAGTTTACAGACGCAGTGGGGTTGGTAAATGTTTAACAATATGAGCGGCTCCGTGACCTATGTGTTCCGTGTCGGTAACCCTGGTAAACTCATTTCATGTAGCTATCAATACAACAAACACGAGAGCAATGGACCCTGAGGGGCCAAGGGACCAGGCTAACTCTCAGAATATTGAATTAGAATAAAGACTAACTCGGCGGAATATTATACTAGGATAAAGATCTAGCCCGTAAACCAGTTAGTCTCAATACAAGCAGGATTAACAATATCCCCAATATATTAGCGGAGCAGAGCCTTAGGTTGGGGACCAGGGGTTAAACCCCTAAACGTTTAAATCCATAGAAAATCAAATGAAAATCTCCAACTGAAAACAGGGAACTTACCACAGTATTCGCAGACGTAAGGCCTGGACGCTTCTGATTTGGGTTTGGTAGGTTTGCTGGAATGTTGTGGGGCAGTTCGAGCAGTAGGATGAGGGACAGGTCTTGCTGAAGGGTATGGAGCAGGTCGGACTGTGGGAGGTTTGTCACTGTGTTCCGGAGACAAGATGGGGGTCTGGGACAGAGCTAGTAAAACGTTAGGAATGAACGTTCCTTCGCGACTGTACTCTTTTAAATCAACGTTCTTCCGGGTCTTCAGGAGTGACAAAGCTGAAATATAAGATTGGTGAGGGGAAGGAGAATATTTACTTTATAGTTTGGCAATAGTTGATATCATAGTATTTGGTGTCAAGTTCCTCATTATAACAGGCATGGTCGAGTCTCTCTAAAACTGGCCGGTTCTGTAAAAGGAATAAACTGTATTTATGCGACATTTGCACCTCTAAATGACAAATGGCCCGCAAGCAGGGTGCTATATGGATGGTTTTGGCCCCTCAGGGGTGCACAATGTACTTCAAGCCATGAGGCTACTCTGACAGATGCTACAATAATGAAACCTCCAGTACAATAGGGGTGTCTGATATTTTACACTAGTCATTACTATAGATCCAGATATAATTTGTCTCTCCAGTAACAATGCATCTGGCAGGATGCTGTTGGGGAGGGTTCTAGTTTTTCAGAGATTTAATGAGTAGACCGATAAAGGGATCTGGAGTTTATTGGAGGGAATGTGCACGTGCGCTGAACAGAAGTGCACGTGGGCAGGAGTAGTGAGTCCCGCCCACAGGGCATCACGTGATCACCCTCCAAGCTCCCTAATTATCCTCCACAAAACCACTCTCCGCTGCTCCAATCCTAATTGTATTGGCTTGCGGGCCGCATTTGCAGCGCACCTAAAGGTCCAGGTTTTGAATATGCCGCCACTGCCAGAGCAAGTGCAGGAGGGTCAGGCAGGGACCTGGCAAAACCTCACGGAGATAAAATGAGACAGCTCACTCTTGAGCACCTCTCATGTTGAACTGTTCTCTCCCCCGGCTCCGGGCGATTACAATTAGACCGTGTACTGAGAATTTACTGCTGCTAAAAGAAGATTTGATGATTAATGTGACCACATTGGATTAAGGAGAGACTTAGTGCCGTTTAGTGCACTAAAACAAAAAACACAACGCTACCACATGATGATCAGTAACAGGTAACTATCAGATCATCTTCCAAGGAAACAAAGAATAGTTAGAATTAGCACAGATTCACAAATTCAATAATGCCACAGCAGCAACATTACTGCTTCCTTTGTTAAAGCTGACTCAAAATGTGTTTAGGAGACTTCAGAAAGTCTTGAAAACTGGATATTAACAAAGAAATTGGCTATAATCCAGACGAAAACTCTCATTTGAAGCAGTCTCCTGTACTAAGGACTATAAGCTGATCACCAGACAATGTCGTTCAGCCGATCTCTCCATAAAATGGATTCAGTGATCAGAAGACACTCAAAAAGACGAACAGGTGTAATAAACAGTTGAGTAACATCTGCTATCTAATTCATATGGTGGTAGTTCTGTACGTAAAGCTGAGAGTACAAAGAGAACTCAGAGTTTAGTGTGAAGTGAATTTACCTTGAACTACATCCTCAGGATTATCGAACATTTTTGAGCACTCTTTGTAGTTAGCGGCATCAATGGCAGCAGTGTCTAACTTCAGTAGCTTCAGGTTAGGTCTATCTTGTTCCTCAGCGCTCTCTAGCCGTCTCTTTCTCTTCAGCTCTATCTCTGATTCGGGTGAGGATACTGCCCAGTTTTCTGAAAATGAATAAGGTTAACGGAAAGAAAGCACAAAACTTGTCACAAGTTGAATTAGTATCCTGATTTTTGAGAATAGATGTAAGTTTAGCAATCCCTTGGATCGTATAACCACAGTACACGCACACACAAAATGCACGTGGGATGACCGCGTCGTCTGGACTACGAACAAGTGTCAGGATGATGGACCTGGTTTCCGGGACCTCCTGGCGCCCAGGATTCGAGAGTAAGCTAGCCCAGCACCAACAAACCCTGGTCCAGAGAGGGAAACAAGAGACTACTTACCCCACTACTCAGAAGAACCACCAATAGACCGGTCTCTGTGTGGCGGTCACCTGACCTGCTAGACGTCTACATCTCACCCGACAGACATTAATGATTGTCTGTAGGGAGAGGAAGTGCGTAATGTCACTTTGTGCCAGGTCTGTGGATCAGAGAACAGACTGTATCATCCAGGGAGGTTTCCTGCTGGGAGCCTAACTAGACTTCTTTACATGTTGCAGGGTGCCTCTCAGGGAGAACTCTGATAGTGTGGCTTCAAGCAATATGGTCACGAAAAGCTAATTAATCAAGATTCTGACCAGTTCTCAGTAAAATACTTTAAAGAAAATTATTTATGACTGAAACATGCGGAGTCTCCAATCTGATTGCTAAGTACTTGTTCGGCACCTTCACCGACATTACTGAGGAACATTGCTCTACCTTACTCAAAATCTATTGAGCAGTCCGATTTTACAGTTCTGTGCACTATCAGCACACAGCTGCAAATCGTAGACACAGCTTATGCTAATCAAACTATCTTTCCAAAAGATGTTACCCTCGACCAGTACCGGCTTACTACAACATAAAACTGTTCCATGATACCGCGCCATTGTTCTGCATAGCGAGCTGAAAACTCGACGCCAACTCCTACGGCTCCATTATCTTATCAGTTATTTGAATTTCCCGCGCAGAGCGGAATGGGAACAAAGAGTTTGGAGTTGGTAATGAACTCAATATTTAAAGATGATGCGACCATAATTTGTATAAGTATTATTAACCGAAACATTATGAGCGATGAGCCTAGACTTGAAATGCAGACGAAATCTTAAAGTTAAAACGCATCACTTTACTTGTCATCAAATGAATTTTGATAATTTCGAAACAATATTTTTCACGAAATTTACAAAAATGTTGTTAGATAATTCGTTGATGTATATTGTATTTACCTCTTTTGATTGGGATGTATTCGGGACTGACTGATCCGGATTTTGAGGGGTTCTTCATCATCTCTGAGGGACTCGATGGAGGCGTATGTAGAAAGGACAACATTCTGTTAAGAGAGATAAAATTAGTCAAAAACATTTGGATATAAATGAATAACTAAGAAGGAATATTAGTCGTTGGGATCCAGTTATCTTTACTGGGACAAGGAAAACTTACTGATATAAAAGAAACGAATTATTGTAGACTGGAGCCACTATATTATCTCAGACAAATTTACTTTGTATAATGGCAAAACCAAAATTTACAAGCTTCTCTCAGGAAGACAAAAGAAAACAGTTCTTGTAGAGGCAACTAAAGAAGAACTGTTTTTATACCAATTTATTGGAGCCATCTGGCTACTGTAAAAATTCTTAAACTATAACGAGAAACTGGTAACGTAATTCTGAAACTCTGGAAGAACTTCTGAATCATTTCCGGGCCGAAAAAGTTCAGATACATAACGCGATTGATGAAGGAGAAGGATTTTATCGGACATAGAGCGAATCATTTAGGTAAAATCGGTTAGCCAAGAATATGAGAAAATGATTTTTACCGTAGGTTAGGCGGCCTAAAATCAAAGAGTATGTATCATATAGAAGCAAAATAAGATAAACCGTTCTGGAAAATAGTCAGAGATAGGATGAAGGAAAATGGCGAACGTTCTTGGCATCATCTTCGGGTGCAAGAAAATAAAAATGTATCATTCAAGTGATCGGTGAAATGGAACGACATCAGATGAAAGCAGGTATAATAACCATGAGGTATATGCAGGTAAACAAATTCGCGTTCATCTCAACCCCACCACTAATATCAAACAACAAGGCTGCACTAAACCGTGATTTTGAAAGGATTCCTTGTTTTGGAAGTGAGTACCTCGTCGGAAAAGTGGGGAGATGGAAGACAAAGGTGGCCTGGTCGTTAACAAAGCCACCGAGAGGAAGGTAAACGCACTAGAAAAGCGAGGCAGTGCACTAATTGCAGTACCCAGTAACCTCCAGGGCGCACACTGCGCGCAATCCCTCAGGCAGGAGAGTCATGTGCCCGTCCTCAACTACTCACATTGGCCCCTTCGTGTCACGTGACGCATCACCGTGTTTCTCATTGGCTGCGCTTTCCGACCTGCGAGGTGCTCGATCACGTGACCGCGCGGCAACTTCTCATTGGCTGGATGTCAACTTGGAGCACTGCTGCAAAGGGTTCTGGGTTTTTGCACATCTGCTGGCGATTCAGGGGCCGGACTGATGACAAACTGAGAGAATAATCAACCTAGCAGTCCACGTGGTAGGTGGGACTTGACTCTTTTGGTAACCTGCACCATTTAATTGGTTTTTAAATGACCATTTTAGTCAGCCTACCCCAGTATGAAGTCAGCAAAATTGACGAGAATAAAATCGTAAATGTTTAGAATAATGCAGTAAGAGAGCCAAGTTGGGGTCAAGGATGACAGACATTACTTAAGCTCAAACAAAGGGACATCTCTAATGGTTATTCGGATGATTGTCGAGCCAAACTGCGCGATTATCTCGTGGCCCCGGGCCAAGTTGACTTCTTAATGAGCAGACACAGCAAATTGCAGTTCCTAAACAAGCTTTAAAGGTCGGATCCATTCACCAAACAATACGCAATAATCAGAGTCAATGGTTGATATGGTTAGCGTAGAAATAAAGAGGGCAAGGCGGAATGACTTAATGACAACAGCTTCAATTTTAATGACGACCTAAACTAAAAGATCGGCACCCCACAATACTCAACTGTAAACAAATTCAGAGGGTCAGAGCCAACAACAAAACATTTCAACAATACTCAGAGTACTCAGTACTCTGAAGAATATATATTTAAACCGGCCCGACAGTGGGCGTCTAACTGTCGAGTAGATGACGTTTGAGGGGCCTGATCACGTGACACAACAACCAGCACCTGACATGCAGATAGTTTACATATGTATGTGGTGATAATAAGATGAGGGGTTGATGAGGGATTGAGGGAGACAGGTCGGCGTGGTGCATGTGAGAAGTGCCCTGATCTAGGAGGCAGGTAATCAGGTACTTGCACTCACCAGCATCTATCAGACTCACTGACCATAGTATCTGGTGATCACTTACAGTATCCAGGCTTACTGGCGATCCTATCTTATTAGTGACGATGCTATTTAATCTACAGTCTGAGAGAGCATCAGAAGGTATGACAGTGAGACACAATCAGCAAAACGTCGACCATGCAGCAGGAGAAAAAGCAGGAAAAATGATCTGCTCGTGTTGACTGTCAATTTAACAGCCTCATTAGGTAATTACGGAAATGTAGAAAACTCAAGGTGCAGGTTCTGTGGTGAAAACAGCAGAAAATCCACATCAATTACTCGGAAACACGATGACACATGTGCGCTACTGATTACACGTAACTAATGTCGAGTGAACTGTCCAGCGGCCCTCAGGGTCGTATTTAACGCTACTCCAACTAGAGGTCTGAATCTCATGGAAACACGGTCTTATATTGTAGCTTCACAACTCCAGGCACTCTTACACTGCCAGTACAGGTTGCAGTCCTGATCTTAATTTGCGGATTTGATAATGTCACTCAGTGGACGGTTAGAGAAAACGTACGATCGGAATTAAGGGGAAGAGAATCAGGATGCAGTTACAAACGGTGGCAATCTAAACCAAAGAGCTTTAAATTGCAGTTTATCAATAAGAACAAGAGGAAGTATAACGAAATTCTGACGTAACAAACGTAAGAAATAATCAGTCTAGTGACAGGATAGTAAAATACTCGATCAATGATTTGACAACTGGCAGAAACTCATTAATATTATGTTGAAATATCAAGCTTCAGGTTAGAAGTAATAAGCTAGTTTAAAGTGACCTCTTAAATGAGTAAACCGTGAGGCGGAACAGTACAACTCAATATCAGGGAGCAACAGGCAATGAACGTGTTCGGACCAACTCCACAGCACTACCCTCCCCCCTCTCTCTCTCCTCTCTCTCTCCCCTCTCTCTCTCTCTCTCTGCTCTCCAGTGCCTGGTAATGATATATAGGACACTAATTAGACCCCGAGCACGCGTTCTAGTCCCCTAAGGGGTCCTCTCCCGACCCTGAAGACAGCGGGACCCCACTCAGCCACTTCCACCAGTAACAACCGTGTTCACCGCCAATCACAAGCCACTATTTGAATATTTGAAGTGTGGCGGGAGGGGATGACTCGTGCCGCTACTTTTCTCCTGTCAATTAGTTGTAAGTTAATGGGTTAATATGTTTATTTTAATCGTAGGTGAAGAAGGTGACGCGTGCCGCTGTAATAATATCTCTCGTGTATAATATACTCTCATCTAATTACAGACACAACTAGCTCTGTAATCTTATACATGGTTCAGGGGAAACTGCCCGGAACTCAAGACGAAAATACCAGACTATTTTTACATACAAGAAGAAGACAGGAGGAGAGAAAGAGGGAGTAATATGGAGAGTATCTTAATTAGGTGGTATAATAATAATTCTACAAACCGGGGACTCGATTAGAGTGAATACCGTTATCATGGCTACGTTAATGCATTGAACAGCAAATCGTATGATTGGATAAACGTGTCGGTATCTTTAAATCACTAATTATAGGAGCTCAAATTAACAAATAACTTAATAGTTTAACAACACGCACGTCGCACCAGGTACCCGACTGTTTCCAGCAGGTTAATTTGCCAATTTTGGGAAATTTCACGGTAGATAATTTCACAATTGGTGACTATTAAGTATTTAACAACAAAGAAACAGTAACGATACGTTATAATCGTCAGCAATAACCACTGATCAGTGATCAGTGATCACTGCATTTAGATTATAACGAAGTTTTTATGAACTACCACACGAAATTAACGGTAAAGAAAGGTTTACTAAAAAGTGGACAGTGAAACTAGGGAGGACGAGATGTCGAAATTAAAGGACTAATTTAAGGGACTGGTTTCACTGTCATGTTTCACTGGTAGTTATGATGAAGTAACCAGGCAAAGTTCGAGCGGGAAGGTTAAAAACTGGAGTCGAGACAGGAGCTCCACACTGAAATAAGAGCTCTAGTCCTAAGGGCTGGAAGCTGGGGTGGGAGGAGCTGTAAAGAAACACAAGAGAGAAAACAATGACACACGGTCCGAGGAGATAGAAAATACAATAGCAGGCGTTGACTTATAAATAGTACCCTCCATTAATCCGAAACCACTGTAGGCAAAGAAGACAATGGTTGCCTCAATTTAACCCAATCAAATTGACAACCCACTAATCGGTTTTGATTATCATGACAGGGATGGATTTCAGAGTTTTCTTCAATTTGACAAGCAAAACCACATTTCCGCCCCGCACTTTTCCCAACCTTTTCCTGTGATCAAGTGTAAAGTATTCAGCCGCAAGCACTTTCCCAGGATCCAGGAAATGTGAGCCGTTGTGAGGAATGTCACAAACTCTCAGGGTAGGTGCTGTAACAAGTTCCGGGAGTACTGAGTAGCATAACAATCGGAATGTAGAAAATGTGATCACGTGATAAACTGATGGAGGGCGGTTACCGCTGCTTGTTAACATGGTGATCAAGAACCCATTTAGAAGGAGTCCATAATAAAACAGGAGTTGTCTCAGATCTTTCTGAGACAACTTATTGATCTTACAAGGAAACTATTTGATGTTCCAAAACAGCTTTAGCGAATTAAGAATTAGAGCAGTATTGGCAAGTGGCCTGGTGGTTAGTTCCTTGTTTCCAGATCAGGAGCGTGTGACCTATGTGACCTCCCCGACCTCGGCCACGGGTGCCTGGGTGCCTGGTTATGGTCATTGACTGTCAGTTGTCATGTGGTTTAGATAGCTGCTGGCACTTTGTTGTATTTATGTCATTCATATTCCGGCAGTTGACTGAGCCAAATGAAAGGTACCCTCGTACAGCAACTTTTAGACGAAGAAGCTCTTGCAAGCCCATTTAGATCACCAAGATTCTATTACACAATTATTAACAAGAATATGTTATCTCATTAATTGAAGACCGTGGTAATAATAATATAGATAAGTTAATGTGACCGTTTAAAAGAATGCGCCAA